AAGAGAATGGCATCTCTGTTGAACAAGATCAGTGCAATAATACACTTAGACTCTAACCAGACCTGCACCTGTCAAAAAGCCTTCTAATGGGTGGTTATCCTGCAGTTAATGAGATATTAGGAGCACATTAACCAAAAGGAAATGGGAAGAAACTGGCAGCTAAAAAGCAAGCTTTCCCAAGAGGCCCAAGTGGAGAGACACGGTGTCTTACAACGAAGTTCAGACCCAGCAGGACTTCAAAGGGTTTTGAGGTACAGGGGGACAATCTCCCAAGCACCTACCTACTAAGTATAAGGCAGAGCACTAAACATACTGGAGGCTCCCAAAAATGTTTGATACCACCTCTGCTCCCCAAGATCTCAGCCTAACTGGGGAGATGTGACATGACACAAAAACTACCAACAAAGAGGGACAGGGGAAGCTTGCTCAAAGCATACAGGTAACAGGCAGGCAGAGAACATGCCGTTTGAACTGAATAACAATTTCCATGCAAACTTTGGAATTCTAGCGGTGGCCGGCAGGGCCAAGAAGGTCCTACTGGGTTTAGAGGCCCACCTGAGAAGGGGGAACAGAGGGGAAAGGGACTGGGAGCAAGGAATGGGAAAGAAGGCATGAGGCAAGGCAGAGGATGGGGTTGGGAAGGAGAGCAGACTGTGGCACACAACCTCCACACCGCTCCCTAGTCTCACCTGGGGCCCTAAGGAGGCCAGAACCCTTGAGCTGCCCAACCCCCACTCAGCCAGGTCATGATGGTCCTGCGTTCACCTGGGCTCCCAGAATCAGATCCTGAGATGACGCTTCCTGTTCAAGAGATCTATTAGGCAGTGCTCCCAGGAAAGGGAGTGGGGAACGGGCCAGGGAAGGAAGCCAAGCAGGGGCATGACAGTCAGGAAAGTCTCAGGCAGAGCAACTTTGGCTCCAACTGCACAGGAGCTCTAGAAACAGTGTGGGACACACCTTAGAGCTGTCCCATTCCCAAGGTGGGGGGATAGGAAGCTACAGCTGTGATACTCCCATTGATTAAAGAGCTGTCCTGCTGGGGGGCTGTCACTTCTCAGGCTCTAGGAACCTCTAACAGAGACACAACTGCTGGCTACTGAGAGCAAGCAAGCACCAGGCAGTGTGCAGGAGATGAGTAAAGGGCAGACAGAGGACCACCACCAGCATCTGCCACCATTGACTGCCAGCCTTTGTGTCCCTAACATCACCCCCTTTTTAAAGGACAACAGCACTTGGGAGCCAACAGGCTGATTCATTAGTCCCTCCAATCCGGGCAGGTGGGTCCAGAGGGAAGAGGAGCTCTTCCTGCCTTACAGACTGACATTTGGGAGGAACCTACACTACCAGATGTACAGATAAGGGACAGTTAGAGGACACCAGCCCAAAAGCACATAAGTTCTATTTTCCAAAGGACCGGCCCCGAATCGGTGCCCTTAGTAAAAGCCTCTGTGCTCAAAGCCACCATTGACATACACAGGGCGTGTCCGCCAGTAAAGCAACCTCCTAACAGTATTCAAAAATCCACTGCTCGGACACCACCTATCAATCAAAAACCCATTAGGAAAAGGATTATTCGAAGGTACTGGTTTCAGTCTGGTGATTTCCCACTCTGCTGGCTAGAATCAAAGCAGTATACTGAAAATCTCATTATTTGAAAGAGCAATATTTAAATTTTTCATCCAGAATAACCCTTCTATAAAGAAGAGCTGCATTATTCAGTCCGAGGGGGAGGTTGTACATTTTCTACTCTAAAAATCAGACTATTTTCTGCAATTACCATAATCGAATCATACCATGCTTGCACATGTTTGGGCGTCTTCTTGGGTGGGACCTGTGCAAATCAAATTAGCCCAGATTGTCTTTTCCTGTGGGTTGCAACCAAAGTACCAACACTTGCCACATATATACCACTTGGGACGAGCACGCCCATCGTCAGCTCCACCTTTCTGCAAGCGTGGATGGGGCTGACTCACCTTGACATCACCCTCAAAGCGGCTGGCATTCACTCTGATTTACTTTTCTCATCCAGAAAAACCTCACCACAAAGAAAGCAATTTCTCAGAGGTGAAGTGTTGGGTCTTCTGAAAACAGGAGAGCCTTTGTTAACAGGAAGTGTCCTTTGCCAATGACTAAAATCAACTCCAAAAAAAAAAACCATTCAAATAACATAGGAGCCTTCAGTTGAAGGGAGCAGATGGATAAGAAGAGCAAGACAAGAGTAACTTGGAGGGATGGAAAAGAAGAAACTCTCTTCTTGAATAACTAGGAATGGACATAAACTAAGCTGTTACCTGAAACTATACTTGCGGGCTAATTTATACACTCAAGTCTCTCATATTCAATAATAACATCTTCCAACTATGTCACTAAAGCAACAGGTATGACCAATAAAGGGCTTTAAAATTTCCATCCACATATAAATGCTGTGGGCATAATGGATAATTATTTCCATCATGCATTCAAGTGCATGCCTAGATCCAGTGTTGATCACATTAGAAAAGCCCACTAGCAGGTTAAAAATAAAAGGGAACACTGTCTATTTTGATAATACACTAAAACTAAATCTCCCAAGAAACAAAGTGAGTCTGAGTAGCAGGCTCAATTTCTCTGTATAATTGATGATTCATATGCACACGTGCTGAAAATCCAGCCTAGCAAGAGGGGTGATAATGGTTAGGAAACAACGCAACTGCTTCTCATAGTAAGGCGTAAGTGTGCTCAACTCTGCTCGAGAGCACACACACACAGAGCTCCAAACACAAATCTAGAAGCTACTGCATCAGCCACGGAAAATCTTAATTTCAGATTCAAAACCCTAAAGACAATTAAGAACTAGAAACCCATTAACAGAGTGAGATGCAGTCCACCAGCCCTAGGGAGAAACCAATACTGTTTTTGGATTAATTATGCCAAACCCTCACACTTTTTTTAAATATCTGTCCTCCCAAGACTTTTCTCTGGTGAAACAGTTTTGTCTCTATCTCTGTAAGTCTGGAAAAAGTACAGTGAAAATTCTTTAGCTCAGACCTCCACTAACTCATAATTCCTAGTAATGAAAGTGCACTATACTCATTTCTAACCAAAAATCACGTTGAGTGTTTTCCCCTGAACGAGTTCTGTCTTTAAAAGCAATCCCAATATTAATTCTCATTTTTCAAAGTCAGGGCTCCAAAAATTAAGGGCTTATTCAATTGCCCGGTAGTTTCATATAATACAGCAATTAATTACTGTCTGATAAAGGACTTTACGATACGTTGCAGGTGTAACCAGTTGAGTCACTTATCCTTGGGAGTACAAGTGGTATTTTCGTGCACTTTAGTGTAACAAAGCTTCAGTGCTTTAAAGACTCCAGTGCATATTTACCCGGCCTCGCTGGCTTCCAGCCTCCAGAAGTTCCGGATAGCCCGCTTCAGGAAAAGAACTGAAAGCTGGAGCTTTGAGGGCTCCTCCCAGGACTCCCACGGGTAAACGGGGTGGCGTTCTTTCCCAAAGCCAGCAGTGCCAGAGATTTCACCCCCTGGCCGGCACCGACACCCTCTCCTCTCCTCGAAACTGGAGTCCATCCGTGACAGCTGCGGGGGGAGGGGGTCCGCGCGGTACCCTAGTGGGGGCGGAGCGTGTGTCAGATGCAGCTGTGACCCCACCCCCAGCCAGGTTACAGCCTCCGCGGCCACCTCCTGTCGGCCCATCTCGGCCCTGCCCACCTCCAGGAGAAGGGATTAGAAAATTCCTCTAAAGAAAAGGAGTGGCCGGCCAGCCATCCAGCCGAGAACTCGCCCACGGGTGGGGCAGCTGCGAGCAATCGCCAGGTGAGGATGCGGAAGTAGCTCTTCCTCCCCCGCCCAGACCTGCTGGCCCAGGCCGGAGTCCTGGGAATCGCACACCCACACCCGCGCGCGTGCACGGAACACGCACGCACACTTCTGCACGGAGACGTGCGCACAAAACACTGTCAAACCTGTCCCGGCCACAGAGAAGAAGAAAAGGCACATGAGGAGTCGGGACATATAAAACTTATTTCTTTTAAGGGGACGAGAAGGGTGTTTAAAGGCCCCTGCCCCCCTCATCCCTGGAGAGATGCCGAAACCCGAGGAGGCCCCGGCGGCTGCAGCGCGGCCGTAGGCGCTCGGGGAAGCGGTGGCTGGTCCCTAACTTTTAACCACAGCAACTGCCGCGGAAGTGGGGCGTCTCCGCCCAGCCACACCTGTTCCCGATTCTGAGGGCCGAGCCCCGCACATCCATTCTGACCTTGAGGTCATTACCCAAGTCAGCATTACTGCGATCCCCTCCCTACAATAAACGACGCCCGGCTGGTACCCACCCAGAGGGGCCGCCTCAAAATGCCCATCGCCGGCAGAGGAAGAACGCGCTTCCCTGGGATCTCCAGAGCTCCCTCGAGCGCCTCTCGCTTTCCCACTGCTTGCCTCCCCCCTCACACCAGGTTGGGTCCCTTTTTCTCTCCACTCCCAAGCGCAGGAACACCCTCCTCAAGTTCAGGGTCCTCCCTCGTCGGCACGTGGAAGGAAAGGAAGCCTTAGAGGGGTGCCCTTGGAGGCTCGCGCTGCGGAGCACCTGGGGTGGGGTCCACCAGCAAATGGAGGGGGCGGCGGCGCGCAGGGCACCACCGCGGGGTGCTGTCCCCACGCCCCGGGCTCGGATCTCGGGGGGACGCCCCTGCAGTTCGGGGAACTCAGCGGGAGCGGCCCCTGGGCCACGAAAGCGACGGGAGGGCGTCTGGGAGGGGGCACAGCCTTGGCCAGGGGCAGCGGCGCGGCCGGTCAGCGCGGGGCGCTCCCGGGACAGCCAAACTTTCTCCGCCACCCGAAGTTCGGGGCGCTGAGGCGGCGGCGGCCAGGGGGAGTCGGTGCGGCGTGTTCCGTCGCCCTCCAGCTCCCCTAGCCGCAGGAGAAGGCGCCCCCGAGGGCCGCGGTGGCCGGAGCGCGCCGTCCCCGCCCCCGCTGCGCTCACCTGCGCGCGCCCGGGCCGCAGCCGGCACTCACCTGGCTGTAGAGCTCGCCGACCGACATGACCCCGCGGGCCGGGCCGAGCCCGGGGCGCTGTGCCTGGCGGGCGGCCCTCGCTCGTGCACCGGGGGGTGGCGGGGCCCGGCTCCTCGCTGGCCCGGCGGCTCTCAGTCCACGGTCGGCCCGCCTGGCGCCATCTTTCTGTGCCGACCGGGAGTTTCTCTGGTTCTTGTCCTTTTCCCCCGACCTGCCCCGCCGGCTTCCTGGAGGCGCCGCGGCCAGCTCGCTCTTGGCCGGCGCGACCTTTACTCCCGCCGCGGCGGCGCAGCTGCGGCCCGGCCGGAGCGGCGGGCGGGCGGGGAAGGGGGCGGCGCGGCGCCGCTCCCCGCGCAGGTGTGGGAGGAGGTGCGGGAGCCAGCGAGCGAGGGCGGAGCGGGCGGCCGGGGCGCTGTCGCCGCCGCCTGTGAGCCCTGCCGGGGCCGGGCTGGACGCGCCCTCCCGCGCCCCCGCCGCCGCGGGGTCCTCGGGGCCGGGGGCGGGGCCGGGCGAGGCGCCGGGCCGGCCGCCCCCTGCTGGACGCCGAGCGCACGCGGGGACAGGTGCGCGCCGGGCGCCCGCACCTGCCGCGCCGCGCTCTGCCTCAGGCGGGCTGCGCCCCTGGGAAGCCGCGCAGGGATGTAGTGGCGACAAGAAAAAAAAAAAAGAGGGAAAAGAACCCGAGGGGAAGAGAGGAATATAAAAGATGCCTGTGGCTGAAAGGCTCCATTTGTTTTCCTCTGGACTTTACGTGGCTGCATTCAACATTTTCATGATTAAAATTCAGTTATGTCGTAGATTGTTATTAGGGTGATTTGGATATACCAAAGACTGTCTCCGCCAAACTGAGCTCCCTGCTCTGAAATCCTCACCAGGAAGATGGGAGTCGTAACTTCACTTTGTTGGCAGGGTTCTCTCACAGCTTCCAACTAGGCTCTCGGCTGCCCCCATCAGGCGACTGTTGGCCTGTCTGGGAAGTCTCATATTTTCTCCCCTCTCTCCCATGCTCACACTCTCAGTCCCTCTGCCGCTCCCTGCCGCATTCATTTTTGTCCCCTCTGCCAGTGTCCCTTGGCTGCCTACAGCAACTTTAGTCCCTCTTCAACTTCCAGCAAAAAATAGAAATTTCAGCCAAAAAGGAAAATAGTTGACAGGAGCTGGTGGAGGGAGAGTAAGTACTATAGGCGGGGACATGGCTTTGGTTTTCTGAAGGTGGCTTTTGTACTCGAATGAGGGATGGCCTCTGAGGGTGGTTCTCAGCCAGAGTGTCTGTCTATAACCGCTGGAGTGATTGTTCTGGAGCCCCATTCCCTGGAAGGTGATTCTTAAACTCATCTCATTCAAGATCTTCCCACGTGGAATGCAGGATCCCCATTTAATTCCCCCGCCGTGGACCCTTCTCAACTGCGACTCCTCAAGGAGAGTCACCTGGGGAGCTTTAACATTCCAAGGAAAGGACCCGCCCCCTCAGGAATTCAGATTTATTGGTGAAGAATGGGAATTATCTGAATTTTTTAAGCTCCTCCATAGTCTAAAGGATTGTACTTCCAGGGCTGACAAATGCAGTAACCAAAGCTTGGGCAACTCTCCTGGATCCGAAATGGAGCTCTTCATACCACTGTCAAGAGCAGAAAGGAAATGGTTCCATCATTTCTCTCTCAAAAATCTGTCTGCATTGATTCCTTCCCAGTAGTCCAGTAGTTCTCTAAGCATGGCCCCTGGGCTATCCGCATCACCTGGGAACTTATTAGAAATTCAGATTATCAGACCTTACCGCAGATGTACTGAATCAGAAATGCTGGGGGTGGGACCCAGCACTCAGTGTTTTCACGCCTTTCGTGGGATTCTCCACCCTCAGACTAAGAAAGACCCCTTGCTAAGGTGCAGTTCACACATGTGCTCCAGATTCCCTTCGCTTCTCCGCTTCATGCTCCATCAGTGGTCCTGTCTCTCTACCAGCAACTTTCTCTCTCAACTGGCTCTTGACTTTTTCCCTGTTCTCCTTTCTTGCTAAACTTCTTGAGGTGGTAGCTGGTACCAGCTGGCTCCACTTACACCCAGTCCCTCCATAATTCACTGGTTCTCAACACTTTCTGTATATTGGAATGACTTTTACAAAAACAGATGCCTGGCTCCCATTCCCAGAAATTCTGATTTAACTTGTCTGGGGTACTGCCTGGGCAAAGGAATTTTTAAGAGCTCCCAGGTGGTTCTAGTGACAGTCAAGGTTAAGAGCTGCAGCTTTAATTCCTTCCTAAGTGGTTCCCACTCAACCCCATCCTATTGAAATTGCCTTCTCCCTCTGAAGCATGGGGTGCTAAGTGATTCTTCCCACCATGTTAAACCATGTCCTCCCTTGGCATCTATCATTTTTCTCCTCTTGTTTTCCAAGCCTCTCTAACCACACTTCTGTGATGCCCTTTTCTAGCTCTGCTTCCTATTCCTGGTTCCTGAATAAAACTGTGGCCCATTTCCCAGACCTCATCTTTCTTCTCATCCACGTCCCCTATTTCACCTCTTACTGAAAGGTTAACTCTCAAATCTAATTCTAACCTTAATTGAGACCCACCTTTCCACCTGCCAGATAGGCAAGGCTAACAATCCCACTGGGACCTCAGACCAACCTGAAACACATTCATTTCCATCCTTCCTCCCCACCCCCAACCCAGTTCCAACTTTCTGGCTTCCATCCTACCTGGCACAAATTAAAAGCTCAATGCATACTGACTGAACTGAGTCATGCCCTTGAGGAGAATGCTACTCTTGGCCAGATCCCTGTGAATTTCTAATCCCACAATCAGAAAAGGTCTTTCCCTCCTTTGAATAATAATAAAGATATTTTAAAACTTACTTTGTGCCAGGAAACATGCCAAGTGCTTTACTTCTGTGATCTCATTTGAGTCTCAGAGCAATCCTTTAAAGAAGGTTTGAATAATAATTCTATTTCACAGATAAGCAAAGTGAGTCTGGAAGAGTGAGGAACATTCTAGATCAAAGAGCTCGTATTCAGCTAAACTCTATCTCATTCTAGAGTCTAAGCAGTTGCTTTTTACACCAGTGATTCTTGAATGTGGGTATCAGGACTAAGGGGATAACAGGAGATGCTAATTCAGTTGGTCCACAAGTCTGCATGTTTAATGAGTACCCCAGGTGGTGTAGGGCCCTTACTTTAAGAAATATTGTTCTGTGCCCCATGGCTTCTCAAAGTAAAGAGAAGACATCCATTGGGTATGCCTTGGTCTCGCTCCTGACAGGTGGGGCTTTCCATCACATACAAATGGGGAAGAACTTTGAACTTCCAAAGCATTCCTTTGCACCTCTCTTAAGGAGCTCCCCTGACTGCACCCTGCATTGCATGTGTGCTAATATCCCTCTCTCCTCCTCACTACTAGGCTTGAAGGACCTTAAGGATGAGATCCACACTTGACACATATTTGTATCTCTGCACTTCCTAGCACAATGCCTTGCACAAAGAAGAACTCAGGAAATAGTAGGTGAATTGTGTATGGGCTGGACCTAGTGATTTGCTTCTAACAAATAAAATACAGCAAAGGTGATGGGATGTCACTTCCATGATTAGGTTATAAGACTGTGACTTTTGTCTTGCTGGAAATCTCTCTGGCTCGTCTTATATGCTTGCTCTGATGAAGCAAGCCGTCATATTGTGAGCTGCCCTATACAGAGACCCATGTGGCGAGGAACTAAGGGTGGCCTCAGACCAATGTCCCTCGAGAAACTGAATTCTCCCAATAGGTAAGAGAGTGAGCTTGGAAGCAGATGCTTCTCCGGTCAAACCTTCACGCTCAACTTGAAGACCACAGCCCCAGCTGACACTTTGATTGCAGACACACGATACACACTGAAGCAGAAGATCCAGAAAAACTGTGAGGTAATGAAGTCTGTGACCCACATAATCTGTGGGGTAATAAATGTGTGTTGTTTGAAACCACTAAGTTTGGGGGTAATTTGTTATGCAGCAATAGGTGACTAATACAATCACATACAAAAAGTACTCTATGATGACTTACTGGCAAGAACTTCATCCTAGCAATTTCTCTCCTCCCCTTCATGGCGGCTTGGTTTCCCATAGGCTCCTACGTCCTAAGGCGTCATCTTCAAACTGGGATTTGTGGTTCCCCGATATATATCAAGAATTTGCAAGGAGTTGTTATTCCGTAGATTGTTTTAAGGGAGTCAGTTTCCAGATCCTAAATCTCTTTATTCATTCCTTCTAAACACCAATTTGCCAAAAAACAACCCTGCTGTTATGGGGGCTCATTCTCAGATCTTGCCTCTCACTTCTCTCACTTTGCAGAAGAAAGGCACATTTCTCAATCCTCCTGAAGAGTGTGTGTGGGGGGGGTGGGTGCTGTGCTTGGGGAGCAAAAGCCTGTAGGACACCAAACAAAGCGAAACTTAGGTGTTGAGAAAGTGAGTGACTCTCATGAAGGAGCCACATGCTGTGCAGGTCTGGTGGTTTCCAATTCTGTTATCCACAAAATTGAAGGAGGACCTGATCCAGTTGTCAGCTGACTATTAAAAATAATTTTTGGGGCCCAGCCCAGTGGTGCAGTGGTTAAGTTCACATATTCTGCTTTGGCGGCCTGGGTTCGTCGGTTCGAATCCCGGGTGTGGACATGGCACAGCTTGGCAAGCCATGCTGTGGTAGGTGTCCCACATATAAAGTAGAGGAAGATGGGCACGGATGTTAGCTCAGGGCCAGTCTTCCTCAGCAAAAAGAGGAGGATTGGCAGCAGATGTTAGCTCAGGGCTAATCCTCCTCAAAAAAAATAATCTTTCGATGGATTGCCATGAGATTTTTGGCAACTCAGAAGGAATTCTAAGAATCGAGGACACTGTCCTAACAAAACTTCCTTTACCATCTATCTGTTTATGTAAACAAATATATAACACTTATATATATAACAAAAATAATAGATTTTAAGTTGTATAATGATACCAGCTGTGAAGACAATTCAGTTCAGAATAATTTTAATACTTGACCACTGGAAATTTTTAAAACATGTTAACATATACATATTTTAGCTATAGATAAGTATTATAGGGTGATTGTTAAAAAGAGTTTCCAGCATAAAAAATGTGGGCTAAAATTCTGTGGGGAAAGTGGAATGGAATTTCAGGCTCAAGAAAAAAATGAATGTTTTAAAGAACTGGTGTATTTTTTAAAATTGGCAATAAAGGGTATCAAACTGCTATGGCAGTTAGAGTCCATTGGGTTCATTTAAAAGATTGACATAGTTTTATTGTAAACTGACAATATCTACAATATGCCAGAAATTATGTCTTTTTCAATTATTTAAACTTGTAAAAAATTTTAGTTATTAACCTAAAAATGCACGGAGACAAACATGGTTTTTCAAAATTCCTTTAGAGAGTTTGAGAGCAAGAAAGTCTGAAGCCCATGGAGCAGAGGGCAGCCACATCCATGATCTCCCAATTAGATCTTTATTGGGAATTCAGGATTGAGAATGACGTTAACAGCCTGATGCTCTGGAATACTTTCAGCATCGTGATTTGCTCAGTGGGCGTCTCTGGGTCTCCCTTGGGGCAGTGGAGACTTACTTTTCACCTGCTCTAAGTTAGCACTCAGCCTGTGAGGGTTTAAGCTGTGACTTCTGACACTATTTGTGTAGAGGAGACCCTGACACAGACCCCAGCCTGGATTTCACATGGGCACTCCTCCACGGGGTAGAGGTGGGTGGTGATCAGTGTGGAAGCCCTAACGCATGAGGATGGTTGAAGACAGTTGGGAGGAGGTTGGTTTGGGAAAGGAAAGACTCTGGGGACTGAGGTATGGTGAGAGCTGAGGGCCCCCACAAGGGAAGTGGGGATGTCACAACTGTTTTCAAATATTTGAAAATCCGTCATGTGAAAGAGATTAGCTGGCTCTGCTTAATGGAGGCCAGATCCAGACCACAGGGAGGAAGTTTCAGGGTGATAGATATTGAACAACCATAACAAATAAGTTCAACTTCTAACAAGAAACGCTGTTTAAGAGAGGAGCAGGCATTTTGTGAAGAAGTGAG